AAAAAAAAAGAGTAAATAAACTTCTGGTTCTTTAGGCGGGATATTATTTTAAGAAAGGAAAGTCTAGAATGAGGAATTTATTGTCAAATAAAATGTATAATACTAATATGAGAGTTCATTCTAGTCCAGCTGGCTATAGATCAAATAATTCAGAAGGAAGTCGAGCCAAATCTTTGGCTAAAAGGTCCCTTTCTTTTACGGGGAGCAGGGAGCATTACCCGCCCAGAATAGCCAGTAAGATGCCTATGGAATCAAAGACAGCATAGGAGCCAGAACCTTGGATTAAGAATCAGGAAGTCTTAGTTCTATTCCTAGCCTAGTCTGTAATTTATTACGGCTGTCTCTGATGCCACAACTCATTGACAAGCAGAACATTCAGGCAATGCTCTATTTGCTCAGCCAAATATCCACTCTTTGGAAGCATCTGGGTATTTTACTGAATTTATTTTATTTTATTTTTTTGCTTTTCTTCCAAATGCTTAGATTAGGAAAACAGAGCCTGTGAGCCTGTGGGGGAGGCTCTCCCCTTCCTGGTCTTCATATCTGCCCAGTCTGTGAAGGACCTGGTCATGTGTATCCCTTTACCACCCCCCAGTTGTGCTGTGTTCTGTATTGTTCAAAAAAGAGCAGCAGAAGAAAGAGGATGGCTGGAATTCTCTTCCCCAGATGCAAGGAGAGAAGGGTAGGTTAGGCCCCTGTTTAGAGGCTTCCTGGAAAGAGTGACCCCTTAAAAGCCCTGAATATCTCTCCCCAAAATGCCAGGTGATCCAAGTGGCTTCACTGCCCATGGACTCAATAGATGTTGGCAATAAATAACGAGCATCTTTCAAATTTCTCCGTGAGCACAATGTGGCTTGGCCATATTAGGTTTTGATAACAACAAATCAAATTGAACTGAAATCTCTCTCCTCATTTGACTAAGTAGCCACTGATTTATGTCTGAAAGAGATTTGTTTTTTTTCCTACAGTAGCTTCATGTATTATCTGTACCTTGAAAATAGCTGGTTACATTCTCAAGACAACAGAATGTTTCTGTTCTTAGCAGGACGCAGGCACATAGAGGGAAAAGGAGGCATAGGTCATACCGTTGGCTCAAGGTCAGTTCACAGTCAGCTAAATACTCTTTCTTCATCCAAAAAGCAAATTGTGTCTATCCCAATAACAACACCCTGCCCATGTTCTAAACAGGCCCTGAGTCTTAGGCTGCCTTAAAAAAGGTATAGAACATGGGGCGAGGTCCTTACCTCCTCTGCCTTGGTCAGAGAACACATACAGGACGATGTTAACTCTGGGCACCAACCATCACTTGGGTCATTGACAAAAGTTTATCATATCCAGAGAACAGTTGACAAAACTAATGAACATTGGGAAGCATGTTATATGTGAAATAATGAAAAGAACGGGAGGTGATCCACCTAGGAAAGGTAAAAGTGGGCATAACATAGTTCTTCAAATAGTTGAAAGGCTATTTCAGGGAGCAGATACTGCTTATGCTGTCTAGTTCTGTGGAAAGGACCTGGGGAGTTAGGAGAAGGTAGAATTTGACTTTGTTACACACCTAAAGATTATAACTGTGCAAATATGAAACAGGTGGCTCCCTAGAGAATGATATATAGCACATAGTAGATGGCCACTAAACATATCTTGGATAATTGTTAAGTAAAGATGTAAAGACCTGGACTTAAAGATTTTTGCAGTTGATTTGTAGTCATTGGTGTTCTTCTGAAATGTAGTTTTGGAAAGGAATGAGAACCTGGTTGCAGAAGTTGAAGAAAACATACATGATACCTAAATATCTCTCTCTTTCTCTCTCTCTCTCTCTCTCTCTCTCTCTCTCTCTCTCTCTCTCTCTCTGTCTTCTCTCTCACTTTATTTCCATTTCCATCTCCATCTCTGTCTCTTCTCTAAATCCTCAGAAAGCTTTTTTGGACCACCCTATACAAAGTGAGACACTACCTCCCAAGTTCCTATGTATCTCGTTACCCTTTTTATTTTCTTCATGTATTTGTCTTGTTTGCAAATATGTTAATTTTCATTGTCATCTGCTCATGGTTGACTATAATATTCAGGAAAGCGGTGATTTTATACTTGTTATTCACTAGTGAATATTGTATCTCTTTAATAGTGATTGGCCCAGAACAGCTATTACTGCAGGAGAGAAGGAAAGACAGGAGAGAAGAGAATTTGGCATTTTGGCCTTTATTTAAGGAGGGTTAAGATACTGAAATACTCAGAAGTTTGTTAGTAGGCAGCTTCACTTCTTAAGAAGTTACTTTCTCTTCATGGACAAGAATGACAGCATGCAATGAAAGCTGCACTGTAGAAGTTAATGCAGCCAAAATCTGCAAGGATACATCTCTGTTTTCAGGCATAAGCTATTTACTGGAGTTCAGCCATGGACATATGAAAGGTTAGAAACTTGAAAACTATTAATACTTGGACTTTAAAAACAAGAACAATAATATTTATCCAAAGCATCTGATTTGTAGTCAACTCTATTTTGTGACGTTTTATGGATGTGTATGTAACATGTGATACTGGCCTGTGTGCTTGACACTTCAGGCTGAATGTAATGACTGGTGATTAAGGAGAGGCATCATGAAAGAAAGGAGTAAAACAATGGGCTATTTCTCTAAAGTAATACTGTAGACCAGAGCTGTTTGGTTTTATTTCTTTTGGCAAATCATTTCAAATAATTTGATGTTCAGCCCGTGGATTTGAAAGTGTTTTTAAGGCACAATCTCAATAGCCAGTTAATTAAATACAAATTGTTTCTGAGACTACTGCCACAGGATATTATGCTTTATCCAACATTAATTTAGTATCTGGAAAAATATCACAATATATCTCTAAGGCTTTGGGAGGTGTTATTTCACTGACTCCTATTGACTTCGTTATTCTTTTTTTTTAAATATATTTTATTGATTTTTTTGACCCCCTCCTTTCCTCCCATACATACCCTCCCTCCCCAGAGTTTTATGTCCATTGGTTGTACTTATATGCATGTATACAAGTCCTTCGGTTGATCTATTAACTCCCCCAGATCTTCCTCCCCTCCCCACTGTAATTTGACAGTCTGCTTGTTGCTTTACTCCCTCTATATCTATCTTTTGGCTCATCAGTTTATAATGTTCTTTATTATCCATAAATGAGTGAGGTCATGTGGTGTTTCTCTTTCATTGATTGGCTTATTTCACTCAGCATGATGTTTTCCAATTCCTTCTTATCCCTGAAAACATCTTGCATGGGCAGTGTATAATTGGACTCTATGTCTTCCAGGTAGAAAAATGTAACTTTTGTGCGTGAAGATGTTACAACTGGGAAGCAAAAGACAATCATGCAAAAACTGTGACTATAGAAGTGCAAAGAATGATATCTTGTCAAACAACTTGGTTTAAAAGGAAAAGAATTATACAAGCAAGCACATTGGAGGAATAATTAAGGAAACTTTGGGTCTTCTATTCAGAGTTTTCCATTTTCTGGATTATCAAAAAGAAATTTAAACTGAATATTCTTAATTCTCAAAATTAATGTCTTTGTGGAAAAAGTACTAGTTCTTTCACTTTGACATGAATCTGTTAACAAAGCAGAAGTTTAGCTTACCCAAATAACTTATCTATATATTAATTTAATTAATGATCCTTTAACCAACTTAATCTAGGAAATCAATTTTTTGACATCTTAAAGATAATTCTGTATAACATTAACAATCTGCTCTACTTGTTTCAGGTACAGAGACTCCTATAGAATTAGATTAATATTATAGTCTTTTATTCTTTGGTGGTTCTTCCGAATGGTGGCTTAGGAATGTAGAAAGATTTTAAAAAAAAAGTGTCAAAAACAAACTAAAAGATCTGATTCAGATAGTCAACTCAGCCATCCCACTAGTAATGCCATCACCTAAGCAAAAGCTCCAACCTGTTCCCTTATACACACCCTTTAGGCTTCTGTTGTGATATATTTCCCTTTGAGGTTGCCACTGGTGGTCCTTTCAAAGCTGATTTTACCTAGGTAAATATCTCAGACAGATAAGAAGATGGCAACCTGAGTCACAAATGATAATTTCCCTCAACAGGGTTCTCTCTGAGTCCACTGCATCCCTCAATAGAATCTTACTATACTTTTCCTAGTCTCCCTCCTCCCTCTAATACTCTAACCAACCCTGATACCTTATACAACATAAGAAATTTGAAAGATTTCTAATATTAATTGATTTGAACATCCAAGAATAGTAAACAGTCATGCCCAAATAACTATATAGTAAATAAGAAGCTTTGGCTATTTCTATAAGCAATAGTATTTTCATTAATATATGTCTATATTATAGAGAATTTAGAATGAGTAACCATCATAATTTACAAAAATATATATGATTGTGGGTTTGTTTTTTTAAAAAGTTTGTGAGCAGGAAAGTAGATTGCTAAGAAATATTGACAATAAAAGCTTGAAGCAACACTAGGAAAATGGCTCCATGCAAAAAAACAAAAAACAAACAAAACAAAAAAAAAACTTGTTCTATGCACAAACTGAAAACCTGCCTCATTTGATTTGGTTCCCATTTTTTTTTATATATTCAGAAGTAAAGTATTCTTCCAAAAAATATTCTCCTATGTGTCTCCTTAAATGTCTAACCACAAATAATTTGTTAGTATGTTACAGTATGATTTGTCCTGGACAGGAGTAGTATAACTTTTCCCAAGAATAATTTATTGGAAGATCGTACATATGTATCAGTGTGCATTGATGTTGTACTTCCTTTTCCTTGTGCCTTGATCCAAAGGGTATGTATTTCATATGCATTTCAAATGCTTTCTTGGCAGTTGGCTAGTATCTTCCCAATGAAGAGCCTATTGATGGTACAGAACAGAACTTTTCTTTCCCCTTCAGTAGAAGACTGCCTATTATTCAGTGTCCTTTTTGTCACATTGAGGAACAGGGCACTTCTTATGCTTTCCAAGAAATGGCCTCTTAGATTCATAACAACATGTTCTGTTCCTCAGGAAAGGAAAGAAGACCAAGATAGGGCGCGGCTGGATTCCATGGTGCTGCTCATTATGAAACTGGACCAGCTTGACCAGGACATTGAGAATGCTCTCAGCGCCAGCTCCTCTACATCCAGTACACCCACCAACCTGCGGCGGCACGTTCCTGTGAGCCTTCCACTTCCCACCTCTGTTCCCATGAGCATGTTGTCACTTTTCTTCATGCATTCCCTCTTACAAACGAAGCATCTTTGATGGCAGCATCTACCCACGTGTGACCCTAAACATGTTCCATAAAACTCACTCGAATACTTCTGCTTCATGCAGAGTCATAAGAGAAGTATGAGGTTCAAAAGGAAATGGTTATTATTAGTTAGACAGAAAGAGGTTCATTCTGGGAGATTATGCTTCCTAAGTGATTAAATTCTCTTCATATGGTTGTTTCTCTAATTATCAGCATTCAATGATATGCTATAAACACAATTAGCAATGCTATATCTATCTTATTTAGTATTTTATTTCCAGTGCCTGCAAATTTACATTGCATGTAAAAGATTAATAAATATTTCCTGCATGGATGAATGGGTGGATAGATGGATGGATGGATGGATGGGTGGAGAGACTCATCCAGAATACTACAAGAAAGAATGTAGATCAATTTGAAAATACTCTAAAACTAACTTGTTGAAATACAATAAGTAGGATAGAGGTGATAATTTTGTTCTGTGTATTAATTGTATATAAGATGTACACTCCTGAGAGAATCTGACACTCAAAATTTGAAAGACAGAGATTCTATACTGACTATACACTTTGCATATTTAATATTAGTTCCATATTAAATGGCTTATATCTTAAAAAATAGCAAATGTGATGGTAGATTTATTTATAATTAAGCCATGCATTCCTTTTCCATTAATCTGTTATTTTCATTATGCAATAAAGAACATATTAAATCAAGAAATTATGCATTTACCTACGAGCAAAGGGACAATCCTATATATAAATTTCAGCACCTTTCAAAATAGAACTGTTCTATATCAAATCTTTTCATTAGTATACAGTAGTTCTACAGTTGATTTTGTAGTTATTTAAGACTAATTCTGAATGTGGGACATAATATTTTAAAGTCAATAAATTAAAATAATAACTTTAGTATTATTTTAGTATACACTGGATATCATTATAAGTTTTTTACATATATTAACATATTATTCCTCACAACATTTTTCAAGTGAGTAAAAAGTATGGAGAAGGTAGTAATAATTTGTATCAGAGACGGGATCCAAACCCAGCCAGTCTTAATCCAGAGCCATGGCATGTGACCACTGCACCATACTGTGCTCTAGCTGACTATAATGGAAATCTAACAGCTTGAACAAAAAAATTAAAAGTGAATATGAAGTTAAATGCTTCCACTAGAAAGCTAGTAGAAAGGGCATTTTTATTTTTGCCTATAACCTTTCGGGTAATTTTTTTCATATCCTTCAGGATTCATCTAAAATATTTTCTTTACAGTACAGTCTTTCCTAAATCTCCTCTGTCCTCCCATACATCAATTATTCCATCCCTGGTGGAAATACAGTGAAAGTAATCTGAAGACCAATAATAAGGGATGTTTAAACTTGTTTACATGTGAAGGGCATATAGAAGTATCATACTTACTTTCGTCAGCATTTTTAAAGCCAGACATAACCATGTTTTTCAACAGGAGGTCCTTAGTCCTTAGTACTTCTTTGCTATTAATGTAGGCATAGAACACATTTTCTCTTTTAAAATTATCTGGTATGAATTGTTCATCTCTCTCACTATCTCTTTAATCTCTCTACTTCTCCCTCTATATTAAACTTTCTTCAATCCCCAAGTATCTAGGAGAAAACCCACAGCCCATATTTCTGTTAAATACAACTCCATATTGTTGTCTGAGCCAAACCAGCTAGGGCAGTGGTCAGTAAACTCATTAGTCAACAGAGCCAAATATCAACAGTACAACGATTGAAATTTCTTTTGAGAGCCACATTTTTTAAATTTAAACTTCTTCTAACTCCACTTCTTCAAAATAGACTCGCCCAGGCCATGGTATTTTGTGGAAGAGCCACACTTAAGGAGCCAAAGAACCGCTTGTGGCTCGCGAGCCGCGGTTTGCCGACCACTACACTATGTCATAGAATATCACTACCATTACCTAATAAGGGCTCATTCTGTAAATCAAGATCTACTTCCAAGTGTTCAGCTCAACAGATATATTGAAAAGGCAAAATAATATAGTAGAAATATTATGAACATTGGGATCTGCTGGCCTGGGTCCAAAGGCCAGCTCTACAGCTAAATATCTGAGAACACAAGAAAATTCTTTAATTTTTTACCTTCACGTTTACGTGGAAAAAGGAGATATTGTTTCCTACCTAATGGCTTGTTGGGCGGAGCCAATGAAAGGACGTGTGTAAGATGTATTGGTCTGGCAGAGAGTACAACTGGGTGTTTGTTAATTCCCTTTCCTTCTCCCATGTACTCACTCATAGCACATGCTGGCTTAAAATGAGTAAAATCTATCCTGTAGCCCTCAAAACTTCTTTTTGGTCTAATATGGGTGTTTTTTTTTAGGACATCCCTTGTTTTTTATTTCTGTTCCTTGGTATTTAAAGCTAATTTTAAAATTCTCTCATCGCCAAAATATTTTCCACAGGCGCTTTCCATTACTTTTGATAATTGTGCCATGGAATAAAGAGATTATAACAGAATGATTATGACCTTGATTGTCCAGCAAGAAGCACTGTCCCAGATCCAGAGAAACTCCCTCTGCCACACCCTCATACTGCTCTGTGAACTTACAGTTTAGCAGGGAGGACAAGACTTGCAATGAAACAGTGAGCTCAGACTGAGATTCCTTATGAGAAAATGCTGGAGTGAGTTCTACTTATAATAAAATATTTAAAGAACAATATAGGCTGGAATCTTTAGGGAAGTCTTCAAGGTGAAAAATATATATTAAAATAAGGGTAAAGGTAAAGACTTAAAGGAGCTCTCTTGATAGAGCCTAACAAGTTGGGGTCAAACAGATATGAGTTTTAATGCCAGTGCTGACACAGAATGTGAATTTGGTCAAGTTACTTGTCTTAAACTTTGGCTTAATCATCTATCAAGTAATAATGATAACTTAGCTTCTACATTGAGTTGATGAAATTGAAGTAAAAAATAGTTATAAAGTATTATCTTTAAAAGGTAAAACACATAAATGGTAGATTTTTAAAGAATTATTATTTAACTTCACAATTATTGTATTGTTAGAAAGACATAAAGTTTCCCTGTTACTTATCTAATTAATTCATAAACAAGAAGGTAAAATTAATGCAAAAGATTTCTGATGTACATGAAGGTCAAATGTAAATGGCTTATAAATAATCTGCTACTTATAACAAGGCATTTGAAGTTTATTTTTTTAATATATATTTTATTGATTTTTTACAGAGAGGAGGAGAGAGGGATAGAGAGTTAGAAACGTCGATGAGAGAGAAACATCAACCAGCTGCCCCTTGCACACCCCCTACAGGGGATGTGCCCGCAACCAATGTACATGCCCCTGACCAGAATCAAACCTAGGACCTTTCAGTCCCCAGACCGATGTCTACCACTGAGCCAAACCGGTTTCGGCTAGGCATTTGAAGTTTATCAATTACCTGCTATTTGTAACTATTCATTTAATGTTAACTCAATTTTAAATTTTAATTAGTCATATTTTTCTTATAGTAAAGTGTTGTCTTTTCCAAACAAAACAAAACAACAAACATAAATTATCACTGATCTAAAATTACTCATGGCATAAGAAATTTGGTTAGGGTTATGTGTTTTACGCACATACTTAAAGAATGTAAATTCCTTTTTGTATTTATTATTGCTGAATATGTCTTTTTTACTTCTTTCATCTCATCCCACATTTTTCTTTTCTTCTTTGCAGCTTTATTGAGATATAACTAGCTTATAATATTGTGTACACTTAAGGTAAACAATATGATAAATTGATATACATATATTACAAAATTATTAGCACAATAAGATTAGTTAACATAGCCATCATCTCATATAATTATAAATGTGTGTGTGTTGAGAACATTTAAAATCTACTCTCTTAGCAACTTTCAAGTATATAATACAGTATTATTAACTATATTCACCATTCTGAATATTAGATCCCCAGAACTTAGACATCTTACAAGTGGAAATATTTACCCACTGACCAACATCTCCCTATCCTTCCACCCTCCCCAGTCCCTGGCAATCACCATTCTATGTTCTATGAGTTTGGCTTTTTTTTTAGATTCCACATTTAAGTGATACCATACAGTATTTGTGCTTCTGTCTGACTTATTTCATGGCCTGAAGCTCTCAAGTTCCATCGTGTTCTCTGAAGAGGCAGGATTTTCTTTTCTATGGCTAAGTAATATTTTATTGTACATACTTTTATATATCTAACATTCCATTATATTCATGTGTGCATATATCCTATATAATAAAGGCCTAATATACAAATTGACCCAATGGCAAAACAACCACCAGGGGGCAGATGCTCAATGAAGGAACTGTCCCCAGCCCCCAGGCCAGCCAAGGCAGGTGCCAGCGCCCCCCACCCCCCACCCTGCCCCGATTGCCCCACAGATTGGCCCTGATCTTCAGCCAGGCCTAGGGACCTGCCCATGCACAAATTTTGTGCATCAGATCTCTAGTATACATATATGTGCATATATCATATCTTCTTTATCCATTCATCTATCATTGGAAACTTAGGTGTCCATTTCTTAGCTATTGTGAATAAGGCTGCAATGAACATAGGGAAGCAAATATCTATTTAAACAGTGACTTTGTTTTCTCTGGAAGTAGAATTGCTGAATCATATTAAAGTTCTAGTTTTAATTTTTTTTAGAAACCTCCATAGTGGCTATTCCAATTGACATTCCCACCCGCAGTACACAAGGTTCCCTTTTCTCCAAGACCCATCAACAATTGTTATCACTTGCCTTTTTGATAATAGCCACTTTAGTATGTGTGAGGCAATAGCTCATTGTGGTTTTGATTTTGCATTTCCTTGATAATTAATGATGTTGAGCATCTGATTATGTACCTGCTAGCCATTTGTATGCCCCCTTCACAATCAGCTGTTAAATTACCAAAGTTGTTTATTACCTCTTTCTCCAATATTTGGTGTGGTTTTTTGTTTTGTTTTTGTTTGTTTGTTTTGTTTTTGTTTGTTTGTTTTGTTTTTGTTTTGTTTTGTTTTGTTTTGTTTTTAAATCAGACACTTGAAAGAGTTCAATTGTTGCTACAAAATAATGCAGGATTATAAAAAATAATAAGGCATGATAATGGTGACACTCAGTGTCAGTTGTGTGTCAATGTGTGTTCTCTTTCGTGTGTGAGTATGTGTTAGAAGGAAGAGGTGGGAAGGTGCTGGTACCAGGGAGAAAGTCATGAAGAGAGCATGTGCATGTCCTTCATATGAATGCATTTTCTTAATAGGACCTGGAGTCGGGATCTGAGAGTGGAGCAGATACCATTTCAGTAAATCAGACACCAACACATTTGTCTTCTAACACCGAGTCCACTGACCTGCCATCTGCCACCCCAGTGACCAATTCTGGAACCAAGCCCAAGTCTTCCACGGTGAGTTATAAATGATAGCAGTCACTTTCAACATGAACTGTTGATGATCATTAGGTAAGAGTTCATATTCTATCTACTCAATGTAGAAGAGATACTCTTGGAGTCTTAGTTGCAGTGACTTGATAGCACAACCCAGCATATGCTGATTGTTTTATAAATGATAACACAAGTGCTTTCTGGTTCCAGATTATGCAAAACATGGTATTAAATTTTCTTGCTGGATACTCAGAACTTTAAAGAACCAAGAATGCAAAATATGAAGGTGGCTATCTTTGCATTATTTTCTTGACCATACTGCTCATCAGTTGAAAATTGCCTTTCTAGCCAAAACTGGTTTGGCTTAGTGAATAGAGCGTGACCCTGCGACTGAAAGGTCAAAGGTTTGATTCCAGTCAGGGGCATGTGCCTTGGTTGTGGGCACATCCCCAGTAGAGGGTGTGCAAGAGGCAGCTGATCGATGATTCTCTCTCATCGATGTTTCTAACATCTCTATTCCTCTCTCTTTCTCTCTGTAAAAAAATCAATAAAATATATTTTTTAAAAGACAATTGCTTTCCTAAGCTTAGATAGATAGATGTAAAATCACACGCATCGTAAATTTTATGTGGTTATTAAAGGACATAGCTCATGTAACATGCTTAGTGAAATGCTTGGCACAGAATAAACACTAAAAGTATAAGCTACTGTCGTTATTATGATAATGCTTCACTGGCTTTACAGTGATACCAAAACAAATGAAAAAAAGAATGACCACGTATAATATTATAGCACCCTGAATTGTGAATAAAAGACATTTTCCTTTAAGTAAAAAGTTGAACTGCAACAGGAAAGCAGTATTTGATTCTGAAAGGTAACATTTAAGGAGGAAGTAATTACTACTTCAAATATCTAACGTCCCTGCAGCTCCAAAATAACCTTTCCTAGTTTAGTGAAAATCATAGTGTTGTATTATTTTTTTAAATGCCCATGTTAGCTTAACACAGAGAAATAAGTTTGCGTTTCTTGTTTGCCTGTCTTTAAAATAAAAGACAAGTCTGAAATAAGACTCAAAAGAGAATACTGTACTCTGAATTTAAAACATAGTGGATATGATCATTTGCAAGTATATCTAGAGCATTTTTAATGGAATAAATATTCATTGAACACTTACTACGTGCCAATCATTATGAAAGATGATAAAGAGTGAGAATAAAACATACTCTCTGTCTTTAAGCAGCTCTCAGTCTAGCAAAGGGAGGTAGGCATGTAAACAGTGAAATGCAATGACTGCCTATCTATATATATAAATGGCTAATATGCTAAGTATCCCTCCTACCATCTGACCAGTCGCTATGATGCACACTGACCACCAGAGGGAAGATGCTTAATGCAGGAGCTGCTGAACTGCAGTGACTAGGCAAAGCAGTTCTCAGGTGATGCACCCCAAAACCACAGAGGAGGGAGCCCAATTCCTCTTGGGTCTCTGCAATTCTACCTTCAGCTATGGGTTATGTTGTTGCTGGCACACTATTGGCCCCGAATCTGGTTTACTGCACACTTGCATTTGCGTTCTACACCCTACATGACAGCAACTTTGCAGAGTGCCCTCTCACACTCAGCCAGTTTCAGCCCAAGCCCTTCAGGCTAGGCCAAAGGACCCCACCTGCTGGAGGGATCCGGCTCACTCCACAGACCCTGGGAAAGGACTGCAGGAGGTTGGCCCCAGGGTGTATCCAGTCCATCTTGCCCAGTCCCACCCCACCGGCCACCTTCTAATTAATTTCCTCTCCCTGTGCAGGAATCCATGCACCAGAATTGTTACCTGGGCACACAATCACAGCTACATAGTGATACCACAACTCACTAGACAGTGAGCAGTGAGAGTCATTACGTAATTGACTTTGCTCCAAACACACTCTTCCACTCCAAGACAACCAAACACTGCTCACCACCTGTAGATCAATACCACTAGACAACTAGACATGCAACTCCACCCAACTCTTGAGCTTAGATTTTGTTAAATCCTCTAGCCAGCCAAGAAAAGTACCCAGAAAACAGCACTCCACTGTCAAATGCAACTGACTTTTAGGAAGTGTCTTAAAGAAAATGGCTGATAATGAAAGGCTTTTGTTTGGGAAGGAGGAGGGTTGTTGTCATTCGTGTGTGTGCATTTTATTTTTTGTTGTTATTGGTGCTGTAATTCTTTTGAGCACTCCCTTTTTAGTAATGTTTGAAAATAATTTGGGGGCCGTGGATCAATTTTATATTTTCAGTTGTTCCTGAGTTTCAATATTAGAATGGAAAATCTTACCTATTTTATGAGAGATTAAACAAATACTTTTCCCCTTGATTTTGAGCTCAGGAAATAAATAATGTTTAACCGCAATCTGAATACCTTGGGAAAACTCTACAATGCTGTTCTTTTGGTCATGAACTAAAATGTTAATTTTAATATTAAGAAGGATCATTAAATTCTAAGGACATCTACTTCTAACATCCACCTAAAATGAACTAACCTTCTGCTCCAAAATGTCACATTTGTACAGAAAGCTTACTTTCATTTCAGAGTTATTTAATGTTATATTTGATTTGCTGCTGTGCGGTCTATTTATAACAGTGACTAACTACCAGAAATATTTGGCTTTCCTTTTTGTGTGTAGGCTCTCTGGGTTTCTAAGTGCCTATTTTTCAATAAGGTTTCTTCTTTTATATTATTAGAACAGGACCAATGACTAATCTTCAGATTTTCCATAAATGCCATATATACGGATATGTATATATGCATACATACATACACAAGGGTGAGCAAAAGTGGTTTAATAATAATACAATCCTATATAATAAAAGCCTAATATGCAAGTCAACCAAACAGTGAAACAACCAGTCGCTATGACATGCACTGACCACCAGGGGAAGATTCTCAACACAGGAGCTGCCCCCTCACTGGTCAGTATGCTCCCACAGGGGGAGCGCCACTCAGGCAGAAGCTGGGTCCATGGCTGGCAAACACAGCAGTGGTGGCAGGAGCCTTTCCTGCCTCCAAGGCAGTGCTAAGGAGCAGTGAGCCTGGCTTCTGGCTGAGCGGTGCTCCCCCTGTGGGATCACACTGACAACAAGAGGGCAGCTCACATGGCCGGTGAGCACAGTGGTAGTGGTGGGAGACTCTCCTGCCTCTTTTGCAGGTGAGCTGTTAGGAGCGAGGTGCCCCAGACTGCAAGAGCCCCAGACTGCGAAAGGGATGTCTGCTGCTAGCTAAGGCCTGATCCGGATAGGACCTAAGCTGGCAGGTGGACATCCTCCGAGGAGTCCCATACTGAGAAAGGGTGCAGGCTGGGCTGAGCCCGCCCCCACCACCACCACCACCACCACCACCACCACCACCACCACCAGTGCACAAATCTTGTGCACCAGGTCTCTAGTAATTAATAAATAAATGATAATACAAGAATAAACTCTGTGTTTTGAGTTTTCACAACTTGAAACCTGATTTTGGCCACCCTGATGTACATATGTATATAATACTAAATATTGAGTGTTAAAGTATATTTCTGAGATATATTTCACACAAAAATTACAAAGTTAAAAGGTAGGATATGCGCTACCAAAAAAAAATGCATTTGAATAAAAAGATCTAGTGCTTCATGTCAAAAAGTTCATCAATTTTTCTAAGTTCTTTGCTGTTCCCTTGAGGCAGTCTCAGAATGCCCTTCAGACGAGATGCTTCTGCAAACAACTCAGAAGTAGTCATATCACTTTACATACAGAGCTTTGATTCACTGACATCTCTCTGGCCCTGGTATTCAGTTGCTTTTAATATAGGGTGAATTAATATAAGGTGGTTACATGGAAGATTTTAAAGCTGGGCACTAAAACCACAGAGGTTCTATTGTTCTTGTTCTTGTTGTGTTAGTTTAGATGTTCACAAAATCACTATTAGTCATGTATTTTTGAAAAAAAATAAACCAAATCCTAGATAAGGAAAACAACATATTTTAATTTGTAAAGTAAGTAATTGGAAGAACAAGGAGAGTCTTGCATTTTGCTGTGTAGAATGACTGAGAGCATCATTAAGAGCATTACATGTTTTTAATTTAGTCTAAATTCCCCCCTCCCCAGAAATTCCTTTAGTTTCTTGTGATAAAATTCTGATAACAGTGATGAGACTCCCCAACCATCTGGGTATGTTGGACCACAGCTAGAGTACTTTGAGTATATCCTAAGCTACCTAAAGCAATGTTGTAATCTATTGGCATTCATATCAGAATTTATTGAATATTGGAATTATAAAATAATTGAAGGCATCAAAAATAGCAGAAGGTATTTACCTTCATTATTATAATTGCCACCAGATTAAAAATAAATAGACAGATAGATATACTTTATTCCAGCTCAAGCTGGCAATGGTAGCTCGAATTCCACTCCTTATCTTTTCATCATTACCACCCCAATAGCGATGGGGGGATAAAGAGGGAAACATCAGATTCTGCAGAAGCAGGAGTGAGGGCAGGCAGGATGGCACACAGCCAGAGACTGCCAGCTCCTTTAAGAGTGTTTCCAAGTAAATCCTGCCCAGGGGCTGCTAGAGGGTCACCAAAACAAAGCCTCAACTATACACCCCGACTGCAAGTTCATGGCCACTTCTGAAAACGTTAAAAAGAAAAGGCTCCAATGCCACAGACGACCTGACACTGCTTCAGCCAGGCGCTGGTTCACATGCCAACAGTCTGGCTTCAGAACCAATATAAACTGGCTTGAGATATTATTATGTCAGAAACAAATAGCTCTAATGTTTGCATTCTCCAGGTACATAAGAACAATTTTGTTGAAGGATATGAAAGTATGGGAATTGTTTTCTCTTTAATCTTTATGCTGTCCTAGGACACCATCACTTGAAAAATATCAATATTCATGACTATTCTGAGTAATGACCAATTTATATGCTGGGTTTTTTAATCAATAGTTTGTATCCTTTAGATTATTGTTGCCACTGTCACTTTTTGGTGATTCTCTATTCTTTCCAT